CGTTTTGCAGAAAATTACTTCCAATTTGACGAGCAAGCAGCGAGTGCAAAAGGCACCAATTTGAAACAAAAAACACCGAAAAGTATGCGTACATACATTTAAATTCGCGTTGTAATAATGTAAAGTGTCGCCGTCTTCGTATTTATCGTCCATCAACATTATTCCGCAGCATCGTCCATCAACACTATTAAATCTTCTACAAAATATTGTCATCGTCCACCAACGTAGTCGCCGTCGTCATCTTCATTGTCAAGGAAAAGTCTTCGTCGTCGCCGTCAATGTTATTTGTCAGCCTAATTAATATAATTTGTAACAAACACGCAAGTCAATTGGAATAAAGGTTTTATAATTATATTGTACTAAAAATCAAATTTGTCTTTGTCAGCCAACACATGGCGTATTGATGGTAATACAAGCAATGTATTCTTTTGTGGATTTTATGTTACTTGAGAATTTAGACAACGTGCGAGCTGCCAGGTTCTGTTATCAATATAATTAACACAAGCTTTTTCGCGTAGTTGCCTTTCAATAAATAGAATAAACAAATATTCGCAAATAAATTGGATTTATTTTATAACTGACAACTAACGTACGCTTTTTGTTCTTTTCTCCATTTTGATTTTGACTCTATTACCGCCAACAACTTTATGTGTATACATATTTACAAGCTGTCAAAATTTTAAGTAGTCACACGAGCTAGGTAAAAACTATGGCATTCTTATTCACAAGGAGAAATCCCAAAATTTTTGTTTGGTATTTCCAAATTTTCTCTTATTTANAAATCCCAAAATTTTTGTTTGGTATTTCCAAATTTTCTCTTATTTATCAGTGGCAGCGCTCCGAGCGTTGAGTTAGTAATTTCATGTCAATTAGTAGAAAAGTTCCATGATGTATACCATTTTATGTGGAATTATTCAATAAATTTCGTTTTACAACATACTTTTTGAAACTATTTGAAGGTAATTATTTTTTGTTTGTTAAAAGCAACCCTGCGTGCTTGGAAGGCGTGTGTACGAATAATTTCATCCCTAGCATATTCATCCCCGAGGAAGGCAGCCGCCAAATTTACCGAAGGTTGTTTACTGGTTATATTGTGATTATGCTGGAGTTGGTGTTGCATTGTATTTCAGCACTGTAGTCACTGACTCCACAGTCGGCCTAAGCGCACTGGCCTCAACGTTTTTCTTGTCTATCCACATTGCCCTAAAAAAGGTTTTTTTTTTGCTAATTATTTCATATACAAATTGAATACACTGATTTTTATCAATTGATTCTTTAAATTCACCGACTTCTATATTTTGCACCACAGCTAGGGTTCAATCGATACAAGTAAATACTCGATACTTTTCTTTTGATACCAAGTATTTTTTTACTCGATATCTTTTGTTCGGTATCGAGTAAGTATCGAAAAAAAGTACTTGGTATCGAAAGAGTAATTTCTACTACACACTTTTATCATTGCAACGGCAACTCAACAAATGACGTCCGCTATTAGAATTTTCGCGGAAAGTGCGGTCATGTAGTACAGAAAGTAGAAATCGCCTGTCTGTAAAGCATTTAGAAAAGTTGTTGTTTCTTGGCAGTGTGCCCCAAAAGCTATTTTTTTCATAAATATTTTGTGAATAATATACTTAGTATATGAAGTCATATATAATATCATAACTAATATTGTTCCTCAGCAATGTACCAAAAGAAACGATACAATTTTTTTTTTTTTTATAAATAGTTTGTAAATGATGCAGTGTGCTGTATACTTATAGAGATGACCTTATGGATAAGTGTCGGATTTTTATTTTTATTTTCAAATTGATTTTAGTTACTTTTTTATAAAAAAATATAGTTCATTCTACGACAAAAACTATTAATTAAAAGAAAATCACATCAAAAGTTTCACCAAAATTAAACACTTTTTATTCAGAACAAAAAGTGTGGAATTTTGATGAAAACGTACTAGCGCAAAAGAGCAGGCACAAGTTGTCCCTTCTTATTATTTACGTTATTTGATGAAACTTTGTTGATTTGCTTTTAATTTTTGTACAAAGTTTTAAACTTGGATTAGCAAGGTTTTTGTTATGGAATGAACTATATTATTTATAAAAAAAAGTGAATAAAACTAATTTGAAAATAAAAACCAAAATAAAAATCTTAAACTTATCCATATTGGGTGACCTTTACACTCATATGACTGAAAAAATTATAACCAATACTGTTCCTTGGTAATGTGCCACAAATATTAATTAATAATTATTTGGTATTCTTACTAAAAAACTTAAATATATACGTTTTCCATACCTGCAGCTTTATTGGCTTTTTATTTGATTTTGACATACAATGTTTTAAGCCATGATAAGACGTAATCATAAGACATTTTACAATAAAGAAGGGAAGTATCTCTCGAAAGAGAAGATGAAAACAATTCAAGTAAGTACTCGATACTTTGCCGATACTGAGTAGGTATCGATACCTTCAGTCTTTTGAGTACAAGTACTCATTAGAGTGATACCTTAAAGCGCAGTTAGTCAACGACGTAGCGTAAACGTAGGTTGACGTACGTAGCAGCATATCAAATTTACTGTTGATAGAGAGAGAGAGAAGCAACGGCAACGTCACCGCCATGCGGTGATGAGTTTTCGTTAACACGCGAATCCCATAAAGTAGATTGTGTCTGCGTCAACCTACGTCTACGTTACGTCGTTGACTGTTTGAGCTTTTAGTAGTTCTTTTATGTATGTATGTATGTAAACCCATGAACGAAAGACACAATGGCTGCATTTCTTTATTCATTCTGAACGTTTGGAATAAACTTTTTTCTTTACTTATTCTTTACGACGTTCCTGATGATATGTTAACGTATATTTCAAACGCATTCTTTTTATTCCGGCTTTGAAATGGGATTATCCGGAATGTATAAAGAAACGCAGCCAATATAACGCCTTCCCGAAAGAAAGAAAAAAGTTATGTTCTAGCTGTTGAAGNTTATTCATTCTGAACGTTTGGAATAAACTTTTTTCTTTACTTATTCTTTACGACGTTCCTGATGATATGTTAACGTATATTTCAAACGCATTCTTTTTATTCCGGCTTTGAAATGGGATTATCCGGAATGTATAAAGAAACGCAGCCAATATAACGCCTTCCCGAAAGAAAGAAAAAAGTTATGTTCTAGCTGTTGAAGTCTCGACGCCATCTTTGTTGTAAGAAGTAAGCAACGAAGAGAACAAAAAAAACCGCGTAACTGTTGAACGCATGAATAATCATTTTTATTATGCAAATTCTTCTATAAATCATGTCGTTGTGTTAAATTATTCTTTACCTTATGTGTGCACACGTTGTCACAAGCGAAAATTAAGAAAATTGCAGTAAAAAGCCACCACCAAATTGTAAACAACGAACAAATGTAAACATACGACTAATGTCAAAGTCGCCCAACTTTTTCCTAAATGCAATTATAACGGGCTACTTAGAAGAAGGCGTTATCTCGTATTTTTGGTTTATGTGTAAACCTGTATGCGAGCGTACAATCGATAGTTTATTTTCGATATGGTTAGTCGTTTTTTGCATGGTCGAAAAGAGTGACAACACCTTATCGAATTGGAAATTTGTTCCGATAAACACTGATTGTTTATTTAAGTTGATTACACATCCCTAACTGTTAGCGTCTATAAAGCCGATTAACGCTTTTTAAACTACAAATCAAAATATAAATGAATAACGAAGAAAAACTTGCTTATTGGCGCAATGCTATCATTGCTTTAGTTCTTAATAATGTGGAAAACAAAATGCCTATAAAAGAGGAAGACATGCGCGAAATTCTGGACAAAGACAAAATGCTATTCAGGCAATGCCTCCCACTTGTGATTCAATCCTTAAAAAAGGTAAACAAAATTTAAACAAAGGTCTTAACTTCATTTTACTTAATATTAAATCTGCAGGTATACGGTATCATTTTGCAAAAGGTACCCGACACTAAAAAATACATATGCTATTCCGAACTGAGAGTATCTTCTACGGTAGAGTATGACGAAGAGCAGTGCCGTCATCTAACACTGCTTTTTATTATACTATCATATTTACTAATGAAAGATGCGCGCGTAGATGAAGGTTTGTTTATACTACATAATTCGTATAATGCTCGCCGTACAAATAAAGCAAATTAGATTTATCAAAATATTTTACAGAGCAACTGTTTGACTTCCTTAAAGGATTACGCATTAGAATCGACGAAGAACATCCATATTTCAAGGATAATATAAAGAAGCTCATTGGTGAAACGTTTGTGAAGCAGTTGTACCTGAAACGTGAAAAATCTGATTCCGAGACCGATTTAGAAACCAGGTTTGTTAAAGAGGTAGTTGGAATTCTTTTATTTGCCACTTTTACTTGTAGATTCTTATACTCTTGGGGTTATCGAGCTACTGTCGAATTCCCTGCGAAAGACGTCTTGCAACAAACTGCACAGGTATACTTGAATTGAAGAGGTTAATTACACTGGTTTACAGCAAAAATGCTCAATGGATTCTACTATCCAATTTCTATGTAGAATTGCTCGATGATTCGAAAAATCGAGTTAATTTCTTTTTCTATGGATACGTTTTCGTGAGATTTGCAATTTACCACCTCAGCTTAAAGCAAAAAGTTGTATACGAACCATCTTACGAATTTAACAACCTTAAAATGAGATACGACAAATGAATGAATTCTTCATAAACCATATATACATTAGGGATGTTGCGAATGTGGAATTTTAGACAGCCGCGGATGCGAATGCGGATGCGGATGCGGATGTTTAAAAGCTAACATCCGCGGATGCGAATGCGAATGCGGAAAATGCAAAAAAATCACAACTAACTAAAATCTTAAGATTTTATTTAACAATTGTTATTGCATGAAACGATGTGGGGACTTATGATTCGATAAAATGCATCATAATCTATCAAACAGTGAATTTAGGATTTTTAGCTTTTTGTATTTCATCGACGAGGTGAGTTACGCCCATTTCATACTATACTAACGATATATTGCGTTCCAAGCCCCACTCCTCAATAGATATTAAATTCGCCTTGAAATGTTTCTTATTTGATATGTGAACTTGGCTGTCAACTTTTTCACATTCCATTTTACTTTTATTTCGCTACGTGCAAATTTTGACATCACAAAATTAAAATAAATGTTGTTGTTTCCGAGCACACAGAGGAGTATTTGCGCAGTGCTTTTCTGCTAAGTAATAAAAGAAAACACGGAACTTAATCATAATAAGCCGTTTTATGAAAAAAAAAATAATATTACACTTATGTAGAAAAATACTAGCGATGCATCCAGTTTTTTAACGTTCGATAGTTACATAATTCTTACCGCAAATTGTCGATTCTCGTTATAGCTAGACGTTGAACATTTCCGCTGGAAATACATATTTAAGGATCTTATTCTTTGACTTTAAATTACAAAACAGGGGGGATTTAGGGGGACAGTTTTAACGTAGCATCTCCAAAGATATTAGCTAAATTATTTACTTTGTTTTCCAGATATACGTTTCATCAGTGCACTTGCATAATATTCGCAAAAGCTCCGCATTGATTATTGCGAATGCGAAAGCGAATGCGAATGTTAAAATTAATGTGGAAGCTCCGCGGCTGCGAATGCGAATGAGAATATTCGCAAAAATCCTGATATACATCACTGATGGTTTCTGACAAATTAATTAATTATTCCAGTTTTTTTTTAATGAAAAAATGGAAAAAAAATCTAGCTTTATCAGTAAAAATAACAAGGTCTGTGCCAAATTTTTCCATTTGCGCTAAAGCTTGTTCTGTTAAAAAAAATCAAGTTACTAATAAAGAAAATCGTCTGATAGATAAATAAATGAGTGGTCAAATGAAAATACGCAAAGATTTTTTATATGAAAAATGAGCAGGAAAGAGTGTTACTCATACGCCACATACACCTGATATTGATAAATTAGGCCCTTATTATGAGCTGCATTCGATTTTCGATCTTCGCTGGCTATCGAAGATCGAAGATCGAAAGTGAAATTCGTATTATGAGCTATGCAAGCGTGTCGAAATTTTCGTTGAGTATCGAATTTTCTGTCGAACAGAATTTTACTTTCGATGGTGTAGCGAAGTGTTAGAAAATTGTTAAAAATGTATGATTTTGTATATGTTTTCTTACATTTTGGCGGCTAGACACTAATTTTAAACAATTTTTATTAATTTCATGCAGTTCTAACATCGTGAATACTAAACACAAGCTCGAAAGGCTGGTTTTACTTGTGAAAGAAAATCCCAATACTCTGTTGGCGCGATCTCTGAGAACAAAATCGTAGCGCTGTTGATAGTTTTAAAATATTTTAAATAGATTTGGCTCACAAACGCTTCTTTAGATGGTCGGAACTTTTTAATGAATCTGTAGACAAATTTCTTAAATATATTTTATATCAAAATATATTCGAAAGACTAATAAACTTAAACTCTCTTAAACATTTGCTACTCCTGGCCAGTTTACTTAGCTCTCATCCTCTGACGAATCGTTGAACCAGAACTCGTTGTACTCATTTTACCACGTTTTTATAAACTTGCTTTCTTTTTTACTTCATTTTAATTAGAACAAATTTACATAAATATGTATAAGCACAATATTTAGTTTGCTCGATTTGTAAACAAAGCTTCTCAGCGGTGAAAAATATACTATTGTGAACAACCTAAACGAGCGAAATTCACAATAGCGCTATTCTTCATCGAATGAGCGCCATAATACCAAATGAAAATTCGTTCGCTCAGCACTTTCGACCACAGTCGAAAATCGAATGCAACTCATAATAGGGGCCTTAGTTCATAGGATATACGTGATTAAGTGGAAACACTTTTTGTTTTAAGCTGAATAACAGTAAATTGTAAATATCTCGAAAACGCATCCACATAAAAAAAATAACTCGATTTTCGGAATCACCGATAGTGGCGTTTGGAGAACAAGAACCAAACTAAAATTTGTGATCCAGTGTTGTCAATGGGGAATAAGTCAGCATTTTTCCGATATGGCACATTTTATGCAGTTCAACAGAGCTCTTTAAACGAACGAACTGCTATAGTCTGACCGATTCCGATTTTCGGCCGATGCCGATGGCGATGCCGATTCCTGAACAACCTGAATATAAATTCATTCAAGAACAAATGGTTTTGATAACCTTTTATAATAAAAAAAGAAGAACATAAACAAATAACATTACAAAACAAATAATCATTCAAGAATCTATTCACTTGTTTATGTATATATCGCTTATGCATATATCGTCGCTCCCAACGAAGAGTAGCAGAAATAATTATAACATACATGTATGTTTGGTTTTTGTACGGCTGCAGGCACCACCTTGTATGAATTCGCTACTATTCTACGCTAGAACCTGAAATGTGCTACTCTTCCACGCAAAAATCTGAAATGTGCGACTCTTCCACGCAAAAATCTGAAATGTGCTACTTTTCGACGCGAATAATGAAATGTGCTAGTCTTCCACGCTAATAGTGAAATGTGCTACTGTTCGTAGAGACCGACGATATATTATTGCAATAATTTGTTCCATAGTCTTTTTCTTATTCAATATTAAAAAAATAGTTCATTCGAAATCACATTTCTTAGTTGTACTCATAGTAGTAAACATATGAACTTCTGCTGACTATAAAGGTGTTTTATTGAATGCGATTTGTTAAGAAACATAACCGTAGATTTTTAATGATGTAAGTATTTTTGTAACGTAAACAATTTAACAATCCAGTGAAATCCCGAAGGATTAAGGAGTTCAGCGATTAATTCCAGGATAATCCTCGCAATACTTACAGTAACGACATTTTAGCATTCTTTGGCTATTATTTAATGTTTATTTAATGTTTCTTATTTTTTATGAAAGTGTAGCTCGTTATCTAACAAACACCATGTTAGTGAAAATCTCAAACTTTTTCTTTAAACATTCTGAGTATGCAGTTTTGTAGCCCATTCAATTTTATTTTAACGAAATGCAAATTTTAAGTAACTAGGACTTGGTATTGATTTTTGTAAATTTTTTTGTGGAAGGTGTTGCGGGTTTTCTCCATACGATAAAATTTTCGAACATACTTTGGAAACTTTGGAAGAAAATGAGTGAAGAAAAAATTTTAAAAATCAACACTTACCTAGGCACTTAAAATTTCAATTTATTATACTAACATTAAAAAACTGCGTACTCAAAAAAATCAAAGAAATCTGGTTAAACAGTCTAAAATTTTGATGAATATTTGTTAAAATTGCGAAAAAAGTAAAAAGAATCGGCTAAAAAGGGCCGATGCCGATTCTTTTGGCCGATACTAGCCGATGCCGATGCCGATTAATCGGTCGGACTCTACGAACTGCAGCAAAATTGTATTATCGAAAAAAATGTCGACTTATTCCTTTTGGTAATTAAGCGATTCAATCTGCCTCTTAAAATTCAATTTTAACTTTCCTTTATAATTTATATTTTTTAGATACTGGGAAAAGAGCCTCGAGAATTTGTTGCTGTGTACAATAAATACTGTGCAGAGGAAAATGAGGAAACTATGGTTGTTGACTAAAAGTAAAGGTCATTTTATCAGAAAAGTTTGTGCTATTGTTCGAAATTCGTTATTAAATAAGAGGCGTTCAGGAAATTATATGTACATGTGCATAAGTAGAAACATATGTATGTTTATACAGAATAAGTTATTTATTTTTATTGAACCCTTTTAGATTTAAAAGCATTAAGGTCGGATTTTTCCGCTCAAGGGAACATCAATATAATTTTTCGTGAATTTTATAATTTATTTATGTAATCTATCAGACACAATTCAATACAATCAAATAATTTAGTTTGACAGCAATAGGCGCTTCTCTGCTTATTCGCGCGTATCCCGGTTAACTTAAATTAAAATTTGTATATGAAAGCTTGTACTTCATTAATTTCATTCCTTTCGCCACTCTCTTACTGTTGGCGAATTGAAATGGGGACTACTGTCTACTTAAATCAAAGCCAGCAATATTAAAAATTGAGTTGCATAAAGATTTAAATTTATAAATTGGTTCGTTTCCACCATAATTCGTTCTATGTGCTAGGCAATAGAAATTACGACGCCCTCTTAGCGATTCATTTATGATTAGTTTATAGGAAATTTAATAATTTAATAATTTAAATATCCTACATTTTTATAATTACTTATATGCCATTTTTTATGTCTATATCTAGATATGTATGTACAATATTCCAGTTGGTAAAACGTGAAGAACTTCTAAATAAACGCTTTTAGGCAGTATTTTACAGCAAAGCCTTCGAGCTTGTATGCAGGATGCATATCGGACCCACGTCCAAACTTCCCTGCCGAAGCGGCTGTTCTAGCCGATGAGCGTGATAGCCTTCGTCAGACCGATCCCGGAGATCCCCGTATCAGGGATCTCAACGCGGAGATTCACCAACTAGTAAACGTACATAAGCGGAAGAAGTGGGAGGAGCATCTGAAGACCTGTAACTTCACCTCTGGTGTGAGCAAGCTTTGGTCAACCGTGAGGTCACTGTCCAATCCGACGAAGCACGACGACAGAGTCGAAATT